TAGGGCCTCCTAGGAACTAGAATAAATGTATATGGAAGGTCCAGTCTTGGAGTTTTAGAAATGTCATTGAATTTTTATGATGAGTAAATATTGTTTTTGGAATAAGGTCAAGAAGGCATTCATTTCAAACCCCGTATATAATGTGCAGGATATCACAGTCACTTACATCAAAGACCTTCACTACCACAGACACAGGTAGAAAAAAGGACTCTAAATTTGTTCTAGCCCGCGTTTAAGACTCCCACATGAATCGCAGTGTTGAGCATCATTTGTTCTAATTCTGTATAAGGAGGGATTGAAGAAAGAAGAGCAAGTGACTTCATTGTGTGTCAGAAGTTGGTCCCTGCCAGCCCATAGCTTGGCACTTTGGGAAGATGAAAACCAGTCAGGAGATGCAGGGAGCTCTGTACACAGAAACTTAGTTACCTGTTCGTTTTCTCACCTCACATCCTTCCTGTCAAAGTAATTAAACCATAATTAGCTTGAAATAACTTCTGAGCAAAACAGATGTAGTAACTGTGGAGAGAGGGGAAGCTGTGCTTCAGGGACTGGGGCTCTGCAGAGGCCTCCCTTCCCCCTGACACTGTGACAACATGAAACTTGAAGTCTGCAATACCTGATGGCAGCCAAGAGCCCCAAAGATCCTGACAGTACAAATATGACCTGGCAAGTGTCACCTTCCCAGAGCTGCTCCAGAGCCTGTCTGCACCACAGAGGTCCAGGTGAGTCCATGGAGGTAAGATCTCCCATTCCCTCAGCTGTGCCGTGGAGAGTGTCATAACAGCAGTAGTCTCTCTCTCTCTCTCTCTCTCTCTCTCTCTCTCTCTCTCTCTCTCTCTCTCTCTCTCTTCCTCTCTCTCAGCTCTGTGAGACTCAGGACCTCCACTTTCCTTCTCTCCCTAACACAGCCGGTCCCTGGCTCTAGAAAGATCTGAGGAGACTCACTCCTGGAGACAGAGAAATGGAACAGAAATGCTGAGGCATTGCTATCCATCCTCAGGATGGAATACATGACAGGGCTCTGGGTGGGACTTTGAGTAAGGTTTCTTTCTTTTTGTCTTTTCTTTTCTTTTTAAGGAATCAATAGAATTTAAAATGTTTTCACATGTTCCTCAAACCCTGGAGATACATGATACACTCCTGTAAGGTCAGCACTAGAGAGACTGAGCAAGGTAATTGTTGTTCAAGGATATTCTGGTTTAGGTGGGGAGATTTGGTTTCAAAAATTACAAGAGAAAAGAAAAATATTTTTTTTAATTTGAAACAAGCTTGTTTTACATGTCAATCCCAGTTCCTGCACCCACCAATCCTCCCCTGTTCTCTCCACTAACCCTCATCCCATCCCCAGAGACGGTGAGGCCTTCCATGGGGAGTCTTCAAAGTCTGTCATATCATTTGGAGCAGGGCCTAGGCCCTCCCCTGTGTGTCTAGGTTGAGAGAGTATCCCTCTATGTGGAATGGGCTCCCAAAGTCCGTTTGTATACTATTAATAAATACTGATCCACTACCAGAGGCCCCATAGACTGCCTAGTTCTCCTAACAAACACCCATATTCAGGGAATCTGGGTCAATCCTATGCTGGTTTCCCAGCTATCAGACTGGAGTCCATGTGCTCCCCCTTGTTGAGGTCAGCTCTTTCTGTGGGTTTATGCAGCCTGGTCTTGAATCCTTTGCTCATCACTCCTCCCTCTCTGTAATTGGATTCCAGGTATTCAGCCCAGTGTTTAGCTGTGGGAGTCTGCTTCTGCTTCCATCAGCTATTGGATGAAGGTTCTAGGATGGCATATAAGGTTGTCCTTAATCTCATTATCTGGGAAGGGCATTTAAGGTAGCCTCTCCACTATTGCTTAGATTGTTAGTTGGGGTCATTCTTGTACATCTCTGGACGTTTTCTCTAGTGCCAGAGTTCTCTTAAAACCTATAATGGCTCCCTCTATTATGGTATCTCTTTTCTTGCTCTCCTCTATTGTTTCCCTGACTCCATCTTCCTGTTTCCTCATGCCCACCTCTTTCCTCCTCTTCCCCCTAATTCCCTCTCCCCTCCCCCCATGCTCCCAATTTGCTCAGGAGCTCTTGTCCCTTTTGTCTTCTCCAGGGGACCATGTATGTCTCTCTTAGAGTCCCCCTTGTTTCCTAGCTTTTCTAGCAGTGTAGATTATAGGCTGGTAATCCTTTGCTCTGTGTCTAAAACCACATACGAGTGAATACATACTGTGTTTGTCTTTTGTGACTTGATACCTCACTCAGGATGATTTCTTCTAGTTCCATCCATTTGCCTGCAAATTTCAGGATTCCATTTTTTTTTCTGCTGAGTAGTACTCCATTGTGTAAATGTGCCACATTTTCTCCATCCATTCTTCAGTTGAGGGGCATTTAGTTTGCTTCTACATTCTAGCTATTACAAATAATGCTGCTATGAACATAGTTGAACACATGTCCCTGCTGTATGAATGTGCATCTTTTTCTTTTAACCTGCTGTGTTTGCCAACACTATGACTCCAACAGCATCCTTGGTGTTTGTTAACACTGGTACTCTACACTTTGGGTGCATTTCCACTTCTCAAATATTGGCATGTGTTTTCTTTTACAATAACATCGTTAACCCTAATTTACAGAAAGTTTTCCTTATGTATCCATCCTTAGTCACTGCAATCTATGGCATACTATTGTACATATTTATATCAGCTACAGTGTTTGCATGACTGCCTTGTGTGGAGAAATATAAACCACTGAGTGTAACAGTTATTACCATCTTGAGAAATCCTGCTATAAATGATTGAAGCTGTGATCAAGGACATTCTGAAATAGCTCATTGCAGTTTTATTCCTGTGCTAAGCAGCAAAAAGAAATAATCTGTTTTTGTCATTTACTACTTTTTAGAAAACTAAAATGGATGAGTAGAACCTACATCAGGTTCTTGGTGTTTCTTTCCAGACGAGGGATCATCCATATTTCTAAACGTAAGTCCATCCTGTCTTTTATATTAATGTCCTACAGCATTCCCATTATAATGTGGAAGATGAGTCGCCTCTCCCTCCTCTGACAGTCCACTCCAGTAGAGGAATCGCTTACTAGAACAGAATCTGTTCTGAAATAATACTGAAAATTTGGGAGGAAACAGAGAAGACCAGAAAAGCACGAAACCCCCCGCCAGGAAATCAAACATTAAACAAACAGAAAAATGTTAACATTTTCCATCAGGATTTGAGGTGAATTATTGATGGGATTTTTTAAAACAGATTCCAATCTCTGACTAAACACTTAATTTTTACTCTAAATTGTTAATGAATGCTGATGTGCTTGCTATTAATGTCTGGAGCATATTTCATTATGCACAGATATTTGGGATGGTGTAGTGATTTCTAGGATTCACTGGAAATGCAGGAAGTAATTACCCCTCCATCACAGGAGCAGTTGAAAGGCAGTAACTGACATTTCTAGAGTCATAAGGCAAGACAAACACAAACATGGGAACATGGCTCAGTTTATGCAAGTCAAAGGTGATATCATCAAGATAGACATTTAAAATAATCCTGTAAGTTTCACAGGGACAAGGGAACAGAGTCATTCAAAGTACTCAGAACACACAAACTCATGAAATATCCAGAATCCTCTCGTTCTAGAAAAGGCACCCAATGTTTACCATAAATCCCTGAGAAATGAGAACGGAGTTCCTGAACATGAAGAATAGCATCCTGCTGAGATCTAAAGTTCTGTAATCAGCTCAGACTGATGTAGAACAACACAGCCTGCCTGAAAAAACAGGTTAGAAAAAAACAGGGGAAGCAGGATGCAAAGCAAACTGACATAACTGTTGCTCACAAGGCCCCACAGAGACAGACGCCACCATGACTTCTTTGATGGGAGAATTCCTACTCACACCAGTATGTACTGTACGTAGCCAAACTTGAGGAGCCATAAGTCATGAACTGCACTTATCTCATAGCGGCAACTAACACCTCATCAATCCCCTTCTTCTATCTACCTAATTCTCCCCTGGTGGAGACGCGATCCATGCTCCCTAGATGTCCTGACAGGTCAATCACTGGAGTCACAAATGCCCTGAAGTCACCCACTGGATTCACAGTTATCTGTTAAGCCATCTCATCAGAAGCACTACAGGGTTCTGCTATACATGCTCCCTAGCTGCAACCTGGCGGGTATGAATTTTTCAGTATATCTTTTTATGACTCAGATGTAAATGTCAGGACCTATCTGGAAAAAGTTGTGCAATTAGACTTCACATTGAGGACTACCATAAAAAAATAACTAGTAAGCATTTATTTGGAGTGAAGTCACAGAATAGTCAGTCAGTATAGAAACTTGTAAAATATTAAGACATAGAAGAGAACTTATAAAGCTTTGAACCCAAAGGCAAATCTAAAAATCATTATATTAGCGAAAATGCAGATAAGAAAAGATTATCAAACAAAGGAGGAGGCAGTGTGGAAGTAAAAGTTACTAGACCTGAGAGGTGTTACACGTGTTGACCAAGGAGGAAATCCCAGTATCTGTGAGCATGATATGGGGAAGCCACACGGGTTCAGCATGAGCTTTGGGAATTGAGTGGGGAAATATGATACAATAGAATGAGAAACAAAGGAAGAAATGTTGATTGGAGAAATTAGAGTTCAATTCAGTTATGTTGAGAATTAACAAGGATAATCCATGCACGCACACACACACACACACAGAGAGAGAGAGAGAGAGAGACAGACACACACCTTGAACAAGTCAATTTTGCTAGTATAGAGCTCAAAAATAAAAAAATAAAAATTCCCTTTAAAACTTTAGACTTTGAGTAGTAGTTATCTAACTCTCCTGTCAGAGCACACACAATATCCCAGGGTCCACACTTGGGGAAATTTCAAGGTCCTAACCTGCAATATTACATATGTCTCTCACTGTCTCTTGCACACCAGGAAATGCTATTGTGCACAATATGCTTTTCAGATCAATGTCTGTCATTACTGATGCTTTCTTGAAAAGGATTTTGCATCCTGGACACAAAATTTTTCTACCTAGGAAGGAAAAAATGGTTTTGAAGTTTATTAAGGAAATAATTTTCCTCTTCATGATTATGGTTGGTTTTCTGGGGAATATTTCAGTTTCTATGAATTGTATGTTCAGTTGGTGGGGAGGCCCTGGGAAGAAACCCATACACCTTATTCTCATCCACTTGGCCTTTGCAAACATTATAATCCTTTTTGCAAAAGGATTGCCAAAGACAATGGCAGCTTTGGGTTTGCGAAACTTCCTAGATGACAGAGGCTGTAAGATCATCATTTACCTAGATAGGGTGGCCCGTGGAGTCTCCATCTGCACCAGCAGTCTCCTCACTGTGGTCCAGGCCATCATCATCAGTCCCAGAGCATCTGGGTGGAGGAGGTTCAAACCAAAGTCTGCATGGCACATCCTTCCAATCTTTTCACTCTTTTGGATGCTCAGTGCTTTAGTAAGTATGAACTTAATCCATTCCATCACAAGTAGAAGCCTGAATACATCACAGCTTAAGAGTGAAGACAACTATTGTTATTTTATGCAAGAAAGTCAGAAAACAAAGTGGATTGTTCTCCCTCTCATGGTCCTGAGAGATGCAGTGTTTCAGGGTGCCATGGGAGGGGCCAGTGGCTACATGGTCCTTCTTCTCCACAAGCATCACCAGCATGTCCTCTACCTTCAGAACTCCAAGCTTCTCTACAGAACTCCCCCTGAGCTGAGAGCTGCTCAGAGTGTCCTCCTGCTGATGCTCTGTTTTCTTTTCTTCTATTGGACAGATTGTGCTTTCTCTCTATTTTTAAGTTTCTCTTTCGGATACAAATCCTTGATGATAAATATTCAAGAATTTATGACCCTTGGTTATGCAACTTTTAGTCCCCTTGTGTTGATTCACAGGGATGGACTTCTGGCTGAGTGTTGGCATGCTCAATGAGAGAAATTGTGAAAACTATCTCTCTCATTTTTCTGTTCAATGAGTGTGAAAAAAGTCTCAGTTCTACAACTTTGTGAGTAAGACATAATCCCACAAAGCAGTTTAAACATGTGTTTATTCTCAGATTATGTTCTTGGTGACTCAAGCCTTGAGCAGAGAGAGAGGGAGACCTTAGCAAATTATAGTCATATAGAAACCTCTATATACTCTATAGTGATATAGAGTAGCAAAGAAATTGCTACTCTTTGGAAAGGAGTTTATTTTGTCTAACTTTTTAATATTTGTATTCATTCCTTGTGGATGTATAGTTTGCCTGCATTATGTTTACATAACTTGTTCATGCCTGGTGCCTCTAGAGGAAGAGGCCATCTAATGCCCCATTAGAGAATGGAGTAAGACTTATAGTTCTGAACCAAAACATGGTTGCTAGGAATTAAACCTGGATGGTCAGCAAATCCAGCTAGTGCTCTGAAGTGAACCATCTCTCAAGCACTGGGAAAATGGCTCTAAGTAGGATTTGTAAAAATGGTTTACTGCTACCATGGCTGGAAGCATGAAGATGAATTTGGTAAACTTTATCAAAATTCATAGTGATTTAATCCTTTTAGTCCAAGAAATTCCTTATATTTTACCTAGTGCTGTACTTGCTAAATGTTAGTACCACAGTCCATTTTGGAACTCTTCAAAGTGTCTATAAGTTTCCATCCATAGAAAAATTGTACAGAATTGTGAAAGAATGACATGTACTGTACAGTCAGTTACTAGATGCACAATGCACCAATCACAACAGTTAAATGCACTGAAACAGTTCACTGATGTTTTATTTGTGAACATTTCTGCAGGAGTAAACACTGTATATATAAGACAAACTAACAAATATCCAGTAAAGTTTTTGTTTTATATCTGTCTATAGTTTCTATGCTGAGTAATATATTGTGGATTTGCCTTTTCCAAAATTAATAAATAAGTGTAATTGGAAGGAGATTGATACTCCCTGCTGACTAGCTTAGTTTTCTGTGCAGGCTACTCTAAGAGCCTTGATTTAAGACATGATGGTCTATCTGAAGAGTATTTAAAGTTTTCAATAATGGGTCACCCCTAAAAAAAAGGAAAATAAAAGAGACTGAAGCTTGGTTGCAGCTGCCCTTTATAATGCCCAGGTGCCCTGCACAACATTGGCCAGCTGTTTGCCACCAAAGAGCTGCAGAGGATCTGATTCTACACTAATTTAAATGAAGGATGTCAGATGTGGCACATCCATTTCCTCAATGAAGGTACAAACCTGCCTATAATGTGGAATATTCCCTTACACTCTGTGTGTGTGTGTGTGTGTGTGTGTGTGTGTGTGTGTGTGTGTGTGTGTCACTGTGGTTGGTTTAATAAGCAAGCTGACTGGCCAATAGATGGATAGGTAGAGGTTTTGTGGGAATGGCAGACAAAAAGAGAGCGTGAAGAAGAGGAGGAGTCTCTGGAATTTCAAGAAATGAAGAGGAATCAGGAGATGAACTTGCCATACTGAAAAAAGGCACTGAGCCATGTGGCAGAGCATAGATAAGAAATATGGGTTAATTTGAAATGTAAGAGCTAGCTAGTAATAAAGCTGAACTATTGGCCAAACATCTATAATTAGAAATAAGTCTCTGTGTGATTATTTGGGGAGCAGCTGGCAAGACAGAGCTGATCAGTGGTCTAGATGAAACTAGATGAAAAACTAGAGAGAGGGAGGGAGAGAGGGAGGGAGGGAGGGAGAAAGGGAGGGAGGGAGAGAGAAGGAACTGAGATTGATATGTAAAAGAAGAAAAAATAAGAAAAAGTAAAAAGAAAAACTCCTGCAGCTAACAATTGTACAATTTTATATTCAATGATTATATCTTTAGATTTTTACATGATTTTTAGCTCATTTTCCTAGACCAGTGGTTCTCAACCTGTGTCATGACCACTTTGGCAAACCTCTATCACCAAAAATATTTACATTACAATTTATATCAGTAGCAAAATTATAGTTACGAAGTAGCAGTGAAAATAATTTTATAGTTTGGGGTCACCACAACATGAGGAACTTTACTAAAGGGTCTCAGGAAGATTGAGAACCACTGTCCTATACCCTCATAACCTAGAAACTCTAAATCTCTTTTAGTATGAAGCTTGTCAGCAAGATAAACTGTGTGAACCTGCTACACACACACACACACACACACACACACACACACACACACACACACACACACACACACCGCTGCCCAGAAAACCCTAGTAGCTCTAGAAATATCAAGGTCTGAATTTTACATATAAAATGGATCAACCAGGGTCAGAGTAGCTAGGTGCTTGCTGTTGTTAAACTAATAAAGTTACAGTTAGCAATCATCAGAGATCTGAGGATAAATTTGAGCAGGAAGTATAATCCAAGTGGCTTCTATATCAATTAAAATGGCCGAAGTGTACCTAGACAGTTACTGTAGGTTCTGTCATGGGGTTCTTGGGGACAAAGATCATCTTCAGTCTTCAGCAGTCACAAAGGGCAGCATTTATTCTTTTATTGCCATACACTGAGAGACGACTGCCCAATCCTTGGAGGCAAAGGGGGCAGTCAGTTCTCCAATATTCTGCTTGTCCATAGTTTGGGCACAGTCCTGGCAGCAGGCCAGGCATGGAGCAGTTCTTTCCCATTGGTTAGCATTACCATAATTCAGGGGGCATGGATTGTGCCCATAGTCTTCTGTAGAGGAGGCCTTAGGACTGCCTTTAGGATTTGGCAGCTTTGTCTATCATGGGAAGCTTTTTCAGCTAAACTTTTTAAAATCCATATTCAGCAGATATCTGAGGGCCGTTATTTAACATATTTATTTATACCAGATTTTTATGAGGTACACACAATTTTCAACAAATTTTATTTGTTTTTAGTTATTGGCTTCAGGCTTAAACTTGAAAACATACATACATAGAAGCCTAAATAAAGCTTGTTCCTGAAAATAAATTACATTTGTGTTTAGCACAGTTTTGAGCACATTAAAGAATTGGATCATTTATAAGGTGATGGAACATTAATTTGCACATCCTAATTATCTGTAATAGTTTATAACATGCTAGTAGCTTCAGTAAAATTAGGATTTTATAGTTTTATCACTGTTAAGTTCTAGCCTCAAAATTACAATCTTTTTTTAATTGAAGCTCTTTTGGTACTACATAAAACTTTAAATAATAAATGTATTCTATAGAACTTTATAAAACCATAAACATAGTCCATAGAGAGATGGGAACCTTATTTTTTTAGTCCTTTCATTGTATACCATTGCAAAATATCATAGTTTCTTGTATGACTTAATTCATCCAAATTGCTAAAGTTTAATAAGTTAGAAAGACAAAGAAACTACATGTATCTTTAAGTCAGTTGTTGTTAACTTGAGTAAACCATAGGAATTATCAATTTTATCTATCAAATATATTTTATTTATTAAATGGGTTTTTTTGTTTTGTTTTGTTTTGGAGAGTTTCTGTTTTGTTTTTGGAGACATGGTTTCTCTGTATTGCTTAGAACCTGTCCTGAAACTAGCTCTTTAGAATAGGCTGGACTCGAATTCACAGAGATCCACCTGCTTATTCTAAAATTTTTAGGAGAAAAAAATCATCATATAAAAATCTATTCTGACTGGGTGTTGGTGGCACACACCTTTAATCCCAGGACTCAGGAGGCAGAGGCAGGCAGATCTCTGTAAGTCTGAGGCCAGCTCCAGAACAGGCTCCAGAGCAATACAGAAAAACCCTGTCTCTAAAAACCAAAAAAAAAAAAAGAAGGAGGAGGAGGAAGAAAGAAACAAAAAAGAAAGAAAGAAGGAAAAGGAAATCTATCCTAATCAGAGGAATCCCATGACTCAGGTTAACAGCCAGATACCTGAGATGAGTTTCAGTGAGAGTCTAGTGATTATGGTGTGCCAGAGGCCTAGAATCAGACCAATGCCTCATTGCAATGAACCTTTTGTGGGTGGGGCTAAGTGGACAGAAGGGTATACTGTGAGACACACTGCAACTTTCAATGCTCCTGGGATGAACGAAGGGTGTTGGAAAGATGGAGAAGTGAGGTAGTTTTTGCTTTGTTTTCTTATTAATTGATTGGGGGGGGTGTAAGGGTGAGGGGAGAATGCAGAGGGATGGGGAGGTGAGCAGGATCAGGGTACATGATGTGAAATTCCCAAAGAATCAATAAATAATTATGTTATTTGAAAAATACTATTCTAATCCAAAATATTTTAGAGAACTGTTGTCCTTTAGTTCAAAAAGGAGATGACAAGAGTTGATTTTAAGTTACACGTAAGCATGCAGTAGCAAATTAAAATTACCTATATAGAGATTTTTAATTATTAATCTTTGTTACAAGTTTTAAGATAACAGTTTTGCTTGGAATTTTATAGGTCCCCCAATCACCCACACCCATCACACACACACACACACACACACACACACACACACACACACACACACACACAGAGTGGTCTTACAGATCCTGAGAGAAAGGAGGTTTACATTTCAGCAACAGTTTCCAATATCTATGACCTTTACTAGGGGAACCTATTTTGTAAACAAGAACCAAGAAAGGGGGGAGAAGTCAAAGAGCTAGACATCTGTAAATGCATTTAGTCGTCCTAATTTTTTTATTCCTATGTAGATCCCTTTTTCATTAAAAAAAATTAAATAACATGTGACATAACAGTAACAAATAAATTTACTGTTTGTTGTAACAAAGTTTTCCTAAGGGTGTCTGATATATCTGGAGCCTTTTCCTGACCTATATAACAGCTTTCTCATTATTACACAGATGGACCCCCTTTCTATTCTTAGTTTTCAGCCTTTACACATAATTTTTGTAGATTTTAAGTATATTTAATAAGCTTATAAATCTTAAGGTACAGAAAACTCCTATGACAGCTGTTTTAAAGTACATCACATCATTTCTTGGGCAGTTTTTGTTTCTTTTCTTTTTCCTGGAATCAGATGGCCTTCTGACCTAGAACAGAGATTTTTCAGGAAAATTTTAAAGAAGCCTTCTTG